CCCCACCAAGCCTGTATTTGTGCTTGGGATTGCCCCGACCCAGATGTAGGACCTTGCACTTGGCCTTGTTGAACTGCATGAGGTTGGCTTGGGCCCACCTCTCCAGCCTGTCCAGGTCCCTCTGGATGGCATCCCTCCCCTCCAGTGTATCTTCCTCACCAAACAGCTTGGTGTCATCGGCAAACTTGCTGAGAGTGCACTCGACCCCACTGTCCATGTCCACGACAAAGATGTTGAACAGTACAGGTCCCAGTACCGACTCCTGAGGAACGCCACTCATCACTGCTCTCCACCTGGACATCGAGCCGTTGACCGCAACTCTTTGAGTGCGACCGTCCAGCCAGTTCATTATCCACCGAGTGGTCCATTTGTCGAATCCATGTCTCTTCAATTTAGAGACCAGGATATCATGTGGGACGTTGTCAAACGCTTTGCACAAGTCCAGGTAGATGACATCAGTTGATCTTCCCTTGTCCACTGCCGCTGTAACCCCTTCATAGAAGGCCACCAAATTTGTCAGGCATGACCAAATTTGTCAGGCATAAATGCTGGTATGCAGGTATAATTGCTTTCAAACTATTTAATCAGGAAACATTTGAACCAGAATACTGAGACATTTTTATAATTAACACATCTTAATTTCATGGTATTTATATCCTTCCGGACTATCTGTTTGTTAGACAAAAAGGTGCACACCCCCACGATCCTCTGTTATTTTCACGTCAGCATATCAGTATTTGAAAACGTAAACCCTTCATTACCTGTGGGGGAACTGTAACGGGTAAGGCCATTTTCCTTCCGTACTGAGTTCCTCCTGGTTTAGAAGACGTGCAATATTCTGTTCAATTTATGATAAAAACATCTAAATGTGTCCTTAGGTAAGTAACATGCAACATAGTTCATAATATTGATTGGCCATCTTGCCCAAAAGTGAAAAAAAGTTCTCAAGTTTCCTGGACTTACTTTCTACTTGCTTGCATAAAATAAAGATTTTCATGAGGTGGCAGTGTTCTGTTATGTCCCACATAGAGAAACACATCATTGAGCGCCAGCTTGGAGATCCCTTTGAAGAGAGGTGTAATATTCATAAATGCCAGCCTTTCTGATTATAGGAGACTTTAACTATTTAGAGGAGCCACCCGGGGGAAGAGCAATTTACCCATTAATAAAACATAGTCAGATCTGTCGAAAGTGTACCAGCTAACGAATGTGCCGGCAATTGATAACACTGTGTGAAAGCGCCTGTGTTCAAAATGATGGGCAGGATTCCTCTTCTGTCTTTCTATACCAAGATTTCTCTGCTTGCACCTCCAGCAAGACTGGAGACTGGATGTGCCTCATGTTTTCATATTTTAATCCCTAATTCTTTGGCTGTCTAAGGACGAAGCACCCTGGAGTTCTCCGATGCTTGCAGCAAAAGTGTCACGGCCCCATTGTTTCCTCCCATCACAGAATCATAGAATTGTTTTGGTTGGAAGATACCTTTAAGATCATCGAGTCCAACCATTAGCCTACGTCCTGGTTTGAGTGACACAGGATTAATTTCTCTTTCAGTAATTTTACTTTTCAGTAAGGTCTCTTCTAATGCTATGGAAAACTGTATTTTTAGAAGACTCTAGTGTCTGAATTTGTGAAAAGATTTACTTTATAGCTAGCTATGGAGTGTGGTTTCAAGGTCTCAGTGTTTTCGAGCTTGCCAGGTGCAGGGATGAGGAGGAGCGAGACCCGGGCACTTGACCCAAGCTGGCCAACAGGATTATTTCATACCATGAACGTCACATTCAATATACATTAGAAAGTTTGCTGAAGAGTTTCTCTCTTCTATGATGGTGGTGATCCTGAGAACTTCTTGCCCCAGTGCTGGACCCCTGAGCCATTCCCTTCCTCCCAAAGCCACAGCACCCACAGTGTCCAACATTTGCTGTCCGCTGCTGGGAGTGCACAGCTTCCTATGGATAGAACGGGCTGAGTATAATCCTTGTATGTTTTATATTGGTATTGGGATCAATATAGGTTCTTTGTTATTATTATTGTTAATTATTTAGTCTTATTCTATTAAATCTGTTTATACTCCAACCCTCGGGTTTCCTTGTTTTTCCTGATTCCCCTTCCCAGGTGGGGAGAGGTCCTCAGGTGATAAAATAATTGTCTAAATGACAATAAATTATTGTGGGTTCTTCAAACCATAACAGCCTAGCACTACCAAGTTACCACTAAACCACATCCCTCAGCATAACATCTACCCTTCACTACATCTCCCATCCTCACTAGTGAGCCAACCAAAGAGAATAAACAGCACAAATCCTCCAGCCATAGCTAACTAGAGGTACTCAGCCGACACATTTTGATCTCCCATGGTCTCTCCCCCGGCCTCCCAGCGCTGGTGTGCAGCAGGGCACCAGAACACGGGCAGTGCTCAGCAGCGCCAGAGTATTTCTAGGGAAATTAAACGTTTTTCAGGCACAGATCTGAATGCCATGAGCACATTGTTAGTGCTAGCATTGAACAAAACTACCTTCTGCACCAGGAAATTACTTGAGGCTCTGAAGGACACACCGGGCATGTCACATCTGGGTAGGAAGTGCAAGAACAGGACAGGGCACAGAGAATGGCTTCCCTCCCCTGTCCCCTTCCGAAAGGGAAGCTGAGGCCCCAGCAGAGCTCCTGGAAAGCCCTGTGGGGAAATCTCCGCAGAGTCCTCAGCACAAGAAATATGTGGATCTGTTGGAGCAGGTCCAGAGGAGGGACATGAAGATGATCAGAGGGTTAGAGCACCTCTCCTATGAAGACAGGCTGAGAGAGTTGAGGTTGTTCAGCCTGGAGAAGA